ATGATTATAAAAGATTATGGATTATAGTCGTGATTATAAGTGATTTATGGTCGTGTACTTTTGACTATACGAGTTGCAGACCCCTCGTAAATAGCGGTATATATAGCAACAAAATTCTGTAAATGTGGGTGTTAGACCTTTGAAACCTCCACATCCTGTACTGTAACAATATTATGCAAGGCTCGATCATTAGAAACATACCATCTGCTTCAACGGTCCGTGCTTTGACGGAACTTTTTAACATTGTCAACTTTCTTGACCTGGTTTTTCAGTCTGCACCCGGAAGATCCCTTCGCAATGGGACGTGGTCAGAGGGCGAGATTGGCAAGCTCATCAGAATGGTCGTGCGAGAACGCCACGACGACGTGTGTGGAATGCAATTCGCTCGGTTCGCCAGATGGGTGCGTGTTACGCATCGCTCTCTTTTGGGCCGACGTGCGCCACGTCTCACTGCCGCGGTGCCGTCAACACTTGACCTGTACTACTACTACTTTTTCATGAGTGTGTCTCGTTTCGTACCTTTCGCAGGAGTTACACCGCAGTTTGGAGGCCATCCAGTCGCACGTGAGCTGCACGCTGTGGGACGATATGTGCGTGTATCTCCCAAGGATGTACGGCGCTGGCCTATCGAAGCTGACACGAGCTCAGTGCACCTACCTGCTGTAAATTTCCCTAGGCATCAGCCGTGACGGTCGAGCCATTCGTCCGTCGTTTGACACGCGTCCTGAATCCATCCGGTACCGAAGTAACACTCGTTTCGTCTCTTTTCTGCAGTGGTTTCATCTGAGGTGGCGATGAGGAGCAAGACTAGCTGAGGAGTCTGATCGAGTTTCGCCTGCAGGCGTTTCACTAACGCTGGTCCTGCGATGCGCCGGTGTGGACGTGACGCCGTGTTCGCCGTCAGTAACCGTCCCTCTGTCCTGTTGGAGCCTGCTCGTGACCATATCTGTCGTCACGGCGCCATCGCAAGGGTGTGGGTCGTCCCTGAGGTGGCACCACTCCGCCGCCAGGTCGCCCTCACTGCTCTCGGGTCGGCAGCCCATCCGGTCCCCTTGTTGTCCGGGTTTTTCTCCTCGACCACAAAGCCCTTTCTTCTCACAAGGAGACTTAGGTAAGTGTAAATTCCCGATTCGGTTCAAACTCGGTATATTTGCTTCTTATCCCTATAGATGACTATTGCACGTCAAAATTTGTGCTGAAGTTTATATGTCAAAACCCCCTATAGGGGCCATAGTTCCCCAAAAATGAAAATTTCATGTTAACAAACGATTAAGGGATATTCCGACTCAGAATGTGCGGTTTGGTGGGGGGGGGGGGTAGTTCCTCTTTCATTTTTCGATTTGAGAACGCCTTCCATGAGTTTATGTCGAATTTCTAAACTTTTTCCATAAAACGCTCCTATAAAGTACCCCGGGATGTGAACTTCAGCACAAAATTCGACCGGCATTCGTCATCTACTTGGCCAAGAAGCAAGTATACCGAGTTTGAACCGAATCGGGAATTTGCACTTACCTAAGTCTCCTTGTCAGTCCCGGCGGCGGTGATTGGCGCAGACTTTAGACGACGAGGACGACGGGAGGCGGACGTCATCTATCCCCCCCCCCCCCATCTCGCTCCGATGTACAAGAGCCGTGCCATGCCCCCCATCCATGTATCATGTTTGAATAAAAGTCAATGTTATGTCTCAAACCATTTGTCTCTCTTTCTTCTCTTCTTCTCTCTTGTAAACATTTCGACTCGATGAGGTAAAGGATCAAGTCAGACCGATAAACACAGCAAAAGGCATGAACATGACAATTTGCAGTAGTGATTGGCATACACATATGTACCCCCAAAAAATTAATTTCGTATACATCGTGGAACTCTTGGTCATCCCTCTGAGTAATCTGCTCTAATATTTCCCGGTATGGAGTGGTTTTGGTTGTTGATGCGTGTCAAATGGAATCACTGGCTCCGTTTCACCCGAGTGCCATTCTAAACACATCACACATGACAATAAGCAGCCTGGGAGAGATCCTCCAATGGGAGAAGTCAGCGGACATCTGTTGCAAGGTGGCGGTCCTGAAGTCCCCCGTTAAGTCCATGATGGTTAAAGTCCAGTCTCGGCGTCGTGAGAAACGCAACCTCTCCCAGCTGATCGAGGATGAGTCCGAGGTGTCGGAACACGAGTCCCCAGCCAGTCCCCAGCCAGTCCCCAGCCAGTCCCCAGCCAGTCTTGTCAGAAGTCCAGTCTCGGCGTCGTGTGAAACTCAACCTCTCCCAGCTGATCGAGGAGTCCGAGGTGTCGGAAAAGGAGTCCCCAGCCAGTCC